TTTTCTCTCTCTCTCTCTCTCTCTCTCTCTCTCTCTCTCTCTCTCTCTCTCTCTCTCTCTCTCTCTCTCTCTCTCTCTCTCTCTCTCTCTCTCTCTCTCTTCTCTCTCTCTCTCTCTCTCTCTCTCTCTCTCTCTCTCCCTCTCTCTCTTCCTCTTTCTTCACCCCCCCTCTCTCTCTTTCTCGCCTACCTTCGCATACGGGTGCTGCGCTGCTCCATAACCCTGCAGCCGTACACGTTCTCACGGCCTCGCCAGCAAGGATCTTGCCCAGGTCGCATCCGTACTCCACGACGCTGCCGTACAGGGTAGAGTTGTGCAGCAGACCCACGTAGCCGTTGACGGGAGCTAGGGGTCGGCTGCAGTCCACCACTGTATACCGACGACAGACGACGGTGAGTGTGGGGGACGATGGTGATGATGATGATGATGATGATGATGATGATGATGATGATGATGATGATGATGATGATGATGGTGGTGGTGGTGGAGGGGGTAATGATGGTGGAGGGGGTGATGATGGTGGCGATGACTATAATGATAATAATGATGATAATGAGGATGAGGAGGCAGGGGACAGGGAAGAAGAGGAGAGGGGGGAGGAGGACAAGGAGGAGGAGGAGAGGATGAGGATGAGAAGAAAGGGGAGGAGGAGACGGAGAAGGATGATGAGGAGGAAAATAGGGATGATGAAGACAACGACGATGATGATGATACGAACACACCACACAGGAATGACTCAATTACATAATTAGCTATTGTATAATTTCATCAAGTTTTCAATTGCCATCATTTATAACACGCACATAATACGACTCAAAGAGGTGGAGATTATTCTGAAAATTAGAAGAATTCTAGGAAACGCACGAGTATTAGGCCACCATGTGACGCCATCTTGTCATTCAGCATGTCACCAAGACAGGCCTATCTCTAACGTCTCACCAGCAGACGAACTTACGTGTGCACGGTGCGTCGGCGCCGCTCCACACGCCATCTACCGAGCAGTGTCGCAGCGGCAGCGCCGTCGTGTATCCTTCCTTGCAGCTGACGCGTAGCTGGCTGAAGGTGGTCGTTGTCCCGTTGATCATTCGGTGGTGACCGTTGGCGATGTCTGGATGCGGTCCGCAGTTCCGCACAACCACTGCGCATGCGCGAAAGACGGAGCGGTCACGGCGCGAAGGTCACGAGCTTACAGGTCACGTGTTTATACGTCAGCATGACGTGTGAGAAGGGGGCGTGTACGTAAGTAGTCAATATCTATCTATCCTGTACGGTCTCACAGCGAAGGAGATATCAATCAAATATATATATCGTAACTCTATCAATCGCGAAAGAGTTACTGCGACATGTGTACGGGCAACACGGGCAACATGTCACAACATTATCACAACATTATCACAACATGTCGCAGCATTATCGCAACACGTCGCAACATTATCGCAACACGTCGCAACATCATCGAAACATTAGGTCAACACTCACCGCACAGCGACTTGACGCCACCGCTACGTGGCGCCACCCAGCGGCCGTTAGGAGCGCAGAACATGGTGTCGGGACCGGACAGGATGTGCCCGGAGGAGCAGCGGGCTTCAGTCTTGGAGCCGATGCGGATCTCATCCCCTCTCATCCTCCAGATGCCGTTAGTGAGGGGCGTCGGTAGGGGGCAGTCCAGGCGACGAAACTCCACCCCAACTACAGCAGAGAGGAGGAGGGGGAGGGGTTAGATTGGTGTTTATTGATTATTAATTATTATTATTTTTATATTATTATTATATTACATATATATATTTATTATAATTTTATTCATTGTCAGTTTTATTGATTGTTTGTATTACTTTTAATAACCGCACACACACACACACGCACGCACACACACACGTACGTACGCACGCACGTACGCACGCACACACACACACACACACACACACACACACACACACACACGACTACACACGACACACACACGACTACAC